ATAGACTAGACTATAGACTAGACTATAGACTAGACTATAGACTAGACTATAGACTAGACTATAGACTAGACTATAGACTAGACTATAGACTAGACTATAGACTAGACTATAGACTAGACTATAGACTAGACTATAGACTAGACTATAGACTAGACTATAGACTAGACTATAGACTAGACTATAGACTAGACTATAGACTAGACTATAGACTAGACTATAGACTAGACTATAGACTAGACTATAGACTAGACTATAGACTAGACTATAGACTAGACTATAGACTAGACTATAGACTAGACTATACTAGACTATAAACTAGACTATAGACTAGACTATAGACTAGACTATAGACTAGACTATAACTAGACTATAGACTAGACTATAGACTAGGATATTTCATAGACTAGTCCATATAGTATTTCATAGATTAATCTATATAATAGTTCATAGACTAGTACATATACTATTCCATATACTTGTTCATATAATAGTCCATAGACTAGTCTTTAATCAACTTAATAGACTAGTTCATAGTTAAGACAATAGATTAATCCATAGTCTTGCCAATAGATTAAACTATACATTAGTCAAAATAATAGTCCATAGTCTAGTCAAAAGATCAGTTCCCAATGTAGTCAATAGACTGTTTTGTGGACTAGTCCATAGTTTTGTCAATAGACTAGTCCATAGTCCATATACATAAATATGCCTTTTCTTAACTATCTCAGTCAAGGAGTATTCAAGATGAAGTTATCATCTATCCAGAAAATTCTATAATTTGACTGGTTTTTGAAAATTTGAAAGGCCTTTAAATGTAAACCCTATCTTTTTTAGAGCCGGTTTGCTATAGACTATAGAATAGACTATAGACTAGACTATAAACTAGACTATAGACTAGACTATAAACTAGACTATAGACTAGACTATAGACTAGACTATAGACTAGACTATAGACTAGACTATAGACTAGACTATAGACTAGACTATAGACTAGACAATAGACTAGACTATAGACTAGACTATATACTAGACTATAGACTAGACTATATACTAGACTATAGACTAGACTATAGACTAGTCTATAAACAGATTTTCGTAATATAGAACTTGTTTATATTTGTAAATCATTAATGATCACTAAAGAAATTTTCGGAAAGCGATCCTATATGGGAGTGGGGTCAATTAATTTTAGTTCCTATAAAACGTGTTTATGTCGATTTCATTTATATACAATGAGATGAAATTTGTGAAAAAATTAACAATTTAATGTATCTAAATATAAACAGAGGTCAAAGGTCATATTTCAAATGTATATTTTTAAAGATTTTATTTATCTCTATTTATTAAAATTTTGCAAAAAACTAATGAAGAATTTGTTTACTTTTCTCTTTACAGCTGGTCTCAAATACACCGATAATCAACGAGTCATTATCCATGTCAAAGATGTCAACGATGAACCACCCTACTTCATTAATCGCCCACTACCCATGCAAGCTGTCGTCCAACTTAATGCACCACCAAATACACCCGTCTTTACATTACAAGCACGTGATCCTGATACCGATCATAATATCCATTATTTCATTGTACGAGATCGTACCGGAGGTCGTTTTGAAGTGGACGAACGTTCAGGTGTAGTACGCACACGTGGTACAGATCTCTTTCAACTCGATATGGAATATGTTTTATACGTTAAGGCTGAAGATCAAAATGGCAAGGTGGATGATCGTCGTTTCCAAAGTACACCCGAAGAACGTTTAAGTATAGTGGGTGGCAAAAGAGCTCCTCAATTCTATATGCCCAGTTATGAAGCTGAAATACCAGAAAATCAGAAAAAGGATTCAGAGTTAGTATTTTTTTTTTTTCCTTTATTGGTTAAACTTTAATTTTCTTGTCTTTAATAAGAAACAAATATTCTTTATTTGCATTATTTGATTTGTTTTTTATTATTTGTTTTTAATATTTTTCCTTTTGGTTTAACCTTATTGACTTTAATGTCTCTAGACAGTTGGTTTTTATTATTTCTTTGTTTTCCTTTCTTAACTTGACTTTATTTATTTAGTTTCAACATTAAGCCTGCATCTTAATATACACAATACATATTTCTTTTATTAAATTTCTTGAATATCCTTGAAATGTACTTACTTTAACTTTTTTTCTCCTTTTCCTTATACAGCATCATTTCCGTTAAGGCAAAATCTTTTGCAGACCGCGAAATCCGTTATACACTTAAAGCTCAAAGCCAGGGTGCGGGCACGTTTAATATTGGCCCTTCTTCGGGCATTGTTAAGCTGGCCAAAGAATTGGATTTTGAAGATTTACGACAACCTCATGTCTACTCCTTGATTGTTACAGCCACAGAGGATTCTGGTGGTTTTTCAACATCCGTTGAGGTATGTACACAATGCTATAAATAGTATTGAATAATTCTATCAATCGCAAATAATATTGAGAACACACACACACATACAATATTATAAACTCTGTTAACTTGGCACGTTAGCATCCGTTTTTCTACTTTTACCACCACCATCAAGAGCTCCAGCAGCTTATTCAGCCACAAAGTTTTTCTTAACAAAAACTATATAAGTAGTAACCCTCATAGATTCTTTCATTTCCTTTTGTTTTTCCCCCACATTTTCATTTTCCTATATAATTTTTTTTTTTATTATTTGAAATTTCTTTATTTCTATACCCGGGGTATCATTAGTTTTGTTTTTTTTTTTGCAGTTTGTGGTCTGCTTTCTTTCTTTCTAGTAGTAAATTTTCCAAGGGTAATTTAATGTCATTTGAGATTTGTTTTCAAACTTTACCAGCAATTGCACTTAAATGCATAATTTTTATTTTATTTAGAGTGTAGCATAAAGAAAGAATGAACCTTAGAACATTCCTACTGAAACTACATTGCGGAAGAAGTAAAAAAATATTAACTCAAATTGACAGTTTTATTGGAAAATTACAACGAACTTTACAATATTTTCCCTAAGTTTTTTTTTTTTGTTCTCAGGGTGATGCTGTGTTAGAAGCAAAAAGTAGCGAAAAAAAACTTAAAATTGAAATTGGAAAAATTATGTTAAACATGTCAAGTATTATGGAAAATAATATTAACGATGGAAGTAAAGCAATAGTAAAGTACTATAAATCTTTACGAAATGAAAAATGTTAATAAGAAAAAACAAAAGAAATTGGCAGCTTTAATTTTTCGACAGGAAAAACGATAAAAATATAGTGATAGAGAAAATATGTTGCAACTAAATTATGTTTAGCTATAGATTTAAATAAAGTGTAAATAAATTTTTATTTGTAGTAGTATTTTAGGGAAAATAGGCTTTTCTTCGCAGTTCAATGAGTAAAAATATGAAATAATTGTTTCCATTAAGGTGGATTCATAAAAGATATACAAGGACTTTCTAAAATCTAAAATTCTAAAGTCTATAGTTAGTCTATATAGTATATAGTCTAGTCTATAGTCTAGTCTATAGTCTAGTCTATAGTCTAGTCTATAGTCTAGTCTATAGTCTAGTCTATAGTCTAGTCTATAGTCTAGTCTATAGTCTAGTCTATAGTCTAGTCTATAGTCTAGTCTATAGTCTAGTCTATAGTCTAGTCTATAGTCTAGTCTATAGTCTAGTCTAGTGTAGTCTATAGTCTAGTCTATTGTCTAGTCTATAGTCTAGTCTGTAGTCTAGTCTATAGTCTAGTCTATAGTCTAGTCTAGTAGTCTATAGTCTAGTCTATAGTCTAGTCTATAGTCTAGTCTATAGTCTAGTCTATAGTCTAGTCTATAGTCTAGTCTATAGTCTAGTCTATAGTCTAGTCTATAGTCTAGTCTATAGTCTAGTCTATAGTCTAGTCTATAGTCTAGTCTAGTCTAGTCTAGTCTAGTCTATAGTCTAGTCTAGTCTATAGTCTAGTCTAGTCTATAGTCTAGTCTAGTCTATAGTCTAGTCTATAGTCTTGTCTATAGTCTAGTCTATAGTCTAGTCTATAGTCTAGTCTATAGTCTAGTCTATAGTCTAGTCTATAGTCTAGTCTATAGTCTAGTCTATAGTCTAGTCTATAGTCTAGTCTATAGTCTAGTCTATAGTCTAGTCTATAGTCTAGTCTATAGTCTAGTCTATAGTCTAGTCTATAGTCTAGTCTATAGTCTAGTCTATAGTCTAGTCTATAGTCTGGTCTATAGTCTAGTCTATAGTCTAGTCTATAGTCTAGTCTATAGTCTAGTCTATAGTCTAGTCTATAGTCTAGTCTATAGTCTAGTCTATAGTCTGGTCTATAGTCTAGTCTATAGTCTAGTCTATAGTCTAGTCTATAGTCTAGTCTATAGTCTGGTCTATAGTCTAGTCTAGTCTATAGTCTAGTCTATAGTCTAGTCTATAGTCTAGTCTAGTCTAGTCTATAGTCTGGTCTATAGTCTGGTCTATAGTCTAGTCTATAGTCTAGTCTATAGTCTAGTCTATAGTCTAGTCAATAGTCTAGTCTATAGTCTAGTCTATAGTCTAGTCTATAGTTAGTCTATAGTCTAGTCTATAGTCTAGTCTATAGTCTAGTCTATAGTCTAGTCTATAGTCTAGTCTATAGTCTAGTCTATAGTCTAGGTCTATAGTCTAGTCTATAGTCTAGTCTATAGGTCTAGTCTATAGTCTAGTCTATAGTCTAGTCTATAGTCTAGTCTATAGTCTAGTCTATAGTCTAGTCTATAGTCTAGTCTATAAGTCTAGTCTATAGTCTAGTCTATAGTCTAGTCTATAGTCTAGTCTATAGTCTAGTCTATAGTCTAGTCTATAGTCTAGTCTATAGTCTAGTCTATAGTCTAGTCTATAGTCTAGTCTATAGTCTAGTCTATAGTCTAGTCTATAGTCTAGTCTATAGTCTAGTCTATTAGTCTAGTCTATTATCTAGTCTATAGTCTAGTCTATAGTCTAGTCTATAGTCTAGTCTATAGTCTAGTCTATAGTCTAGTCTATAGTCTAGTCTATAGTCTAGTCTATAGTCTAGTCTATAGTCTAGTCTATAGTCTAGTCTATAGTCTAGTCTATAGTCTATTCTATATTCTAGTCTATAGTCTAGTCTATAGTCTAGTCTATAGTCTAGTCTATAGTCTAGTCTATAGTCTAGTCTATAGTCTAGTCTATAGTCTAGTCTATAGTCCGATTTCCATCAATAAATAACACAAATACATCAATCACCATTCAAATAATCACAAAGACTTCTCATCCGACTAATTTATAATTTATGAATAGGTGCCAAGGTCCCTATATTCCTGACTCACTCTACTTCCTTCCCTTGTAATTTCAACTCATGACCCTGTAGGGGATATACATATTTAGTCTTTCAATTTCTTCTAATATAGGAATACAAAAAGCATGGACGGTTAAAATTTCATCTTGCCTCAGTCATTTAACACTTTTTACATTATCTTCCCTTTTCCTTTTGAAGCTTTTACATCGATTTTAATATTAAAGCAATATCTGTTAAGAAGCACTTTACTCATGCTTAAAAACAATTACTTTCAAACTATTGTCTACAAGAATTAATAAACATACACACACTTTCATATAATCACGTTTAATTAACTTTTCTATTTACTCACTCACCTTTCTATTCTGCTCATTCTAGCTAACCATACGTGTCACTGATGTCAATGACAATGCACCCAAATTTGAATTGCCTGATTATCAAGCGCATAATGTCGATGAAGACATACCCTTGGGCACCAGTATACTACGTGTCAAAGCGATGGATTCCGATTCAGGTGCCAATGCAGAAATTGAATATTTAGTATCCGATGATCATTTTGCTGTCGATTCGAACGGCATTATTGTGAACAATAAACAATTAGATGCCGATAACAATAATGCCTACTATGAGTTCATTGTTACGGCCAAAGACAAAGGTGAACCCTCCAAGTCAGGTGTGGCCACAGTACGTGTCTATACCAAGAATAAAAACGATGAAGAACCTAAATTCTCGCAACAAGTCTATACGCCGAATGTCG